CGAGTTTCCGGCGGGCGTCCTGGGAATTAAATGACGGGGGTGGGGGCGCCTGAGTGCGGCTCGCGCCGCTGGAGGCGAGCACGGGCCAGTCCCAGGGCAGCGCCGTGGTCTGGGCAGCTGGAGTAGGCCCGAGAAGCCTCGCGCAGCCCCCGGCGGCCGGGCCTGGGCCTTTGGGCACCTCGCAGGTTGGGTTCTTTGTGCGTAGCTCGTAAACCTTACTACTCCGGGAAGGAGAACTTCTATGAAGCCATCGGGAGCCCGAAGCACGTTTCCCGTGTCTCTAGCTGCTCACGTGGGTGCCTCAAGGTAGTGTGTGTGTGTTCAAATCCTTGCTTGCAAAGGAGTCTTCAGCCAGCTGGCGGCACCTTAGTTTACCCTCTGTTAGTCACCGTCGTTGACATTCCTTTCACCAACTAAAACGTCAAACTACTACACTCAGCCTGGTGCAGTGGCTCACTCCCGTGATCTCAGCTGTTCGGGAGGCTGAGAAGTGAGGATCTGAGCCAACTCAGGCAGAAAAGACTGAGAGATTGTTAACCTACAATTAACCAGCAAGAAAACAAAACAAACAAACCAGACGTGGGAACAAACGTAGCTCAAGCGTGTCACTCTGGAGCAAAAAAAGTGCCCACAACTCGAGTTCAAGCCTCAGTATGATAGATGATATTACTACAGTCTTTAGTAGTTATACAATAAAGAGAATCCTAGGATTTAACAACTAAAAATGCTATGAGAACTGATTGGCTAAAGTGACCAGCTGATTGGTGAGGGTCAGGACTTCTCTGGTGTCTGGGAGACTAGATCTAGCACCCTTCAAAGCACCTACAACACTGTGTCATACTCTTACTTGCAGATCTAAGTAGACTATGAAGTCAGAGGTTACGTATGTTCATCTCTACCTCTTGGGTCTGACATGAAGTAGGTTTTCAGTAAATTTTCCAGTCGGGAAAAAAATCAGAACCCCTAAATCCTTGCTCTACACTGCTCTTCACCTGCCCCATTTTTAGGGAGAAGTGAGCACCAAGATGAGGTTCCAAAGCTTGAAAGCCTGCTCAACCTCCATGTAGAGAAAGCCAGATGCTTGCAATAATAGTCCAGCATGCTCAAAGTCTTAGGTTTATTCACCAGCACTAAGACAAGGGAAACAGACACAAAAAAATCAAAATATTTAAAATAACCCTAGAATCATTCTGGGATGAGAAAGTATTTGGAGTGTGACTTGTTAGAGGCTGGACAGATCTGCTGTTAAGCCTTTTACATATATTTACCCCATCACATGTTCCCCACTTCCCCAAGCCCTCAGATCCTTCTTTCTTTTTTTTTAAAAAAAATTTTTATATCCTTTCTCCTTTTTCTGAGGGAATACTTCTCCCTCTTCTGTGCCCTGATCTTTTTGAAGTGTCTCAGAGCAACTGTCCCAAGTCAAAAGGTGTTAGGGGATATGACCTAACTATTCTGTAAATATACAGCTCTCATCCTTAGGAAATGAATGTGCCAGTAGAGTAACCACATCAAGGGAGGATTTCAGTAGTTACCACACTGCCTGGAACTACCACTTTACCCTCAGCTCTTGTCGCAGAACCTTGCTCATAGAACCTAATAGCTTCTTTCTCCAAAGTAAATTTATTCCCAGGGGCCAACAGGTTCCCTTTCACTGACAATTTTACCAACTATAGCCCCTACTGCATATATGACATTTGGTTATGTTATCAAAACTCCATTTCATCAACCTATTCCATAGGTTGAAAGAATGAATTTTTTTCTATATACAGATGTGACATACTTTGGTATTATTCATCCTCCATCATTCTCTTTCCCTTTCTTTCCCTTCATCTCCCCAAACAGTACCATAGTTACAACTAGATTGTATGTCTGTATGTATGTGTATCATGTGTCTATATGTAATGTGTATATATACATTATACACATACACATATAGTATTGTACATATAAATGTATATGTGTATATGTATGTGTAAATATATTCAACCAACATGATGATCTCCAACTCCATTCACTTTCCTGCAAATGACAAAATTTTGCTCTGCTTTAGAAAAAAATGACTCTGGAGACTGAGCTAGTATCAATATTAACAAAAGCCGGTAATAACAAATCAATAATAACAAAAACCTTGAAAAATGTGGGAAAACAAATTATTTTTAAAAAACATACAGTTTACATAGTTATAAACCATCCTTATTCCATCTACTCTGAAGTAAATACACACAGTATAAAATCTGAGTAACTTTTGTTGTATTTTAGAGACAAAGGTGGCTTCTTCAAAGAGCAAATGAGGTTTTACATTGATCAATTCTTATGGTCTTATCCAATTCCCTTGGAGCCAATGGCTGAGGAATCTACAAATAGGATCTAATTCAACCAAGTGTCTCCATCCACCTTCCCATCCATCTACCAGTTTGGGAAGAGGCATGCTGGGGCTTTAACCCAGAATCTCATTCATACTAGACAAACACTCTACACCACTGAGCTTCATATCCACCCCTGAATAGTTTTACTATTAATTCTGTGTGAGGCATTATGCTGGATAATGGAGTCATCAAGATGAGTAAAACCATGATTCCCACACATTAGTAAGCACACAGGATAAGAGAAATAGTCAAGTCATTAGAGTGTAATGTGATGTCCTATTAATACAGACAAGGGCAAAGTATTATGGTAACATAATTGCCAAGAATTAGAGAAATCAAAGTGGTAAAAGCAAAAGAGCCCATGAACAGCACCCAGGCCCCGAGTTCAAGCCCCATGACCAACCAAAAAAAAAAAAATTCAACAGCTTAGTTATCAAGGAAATACAACTCAATAACACCGAGACTTCCTCACCCCACTCATAATTGCTACCTTAAGAAAACAAAAATCCAAGAATTAGAGAAAGATTCAGGGATGAAGTTTGAGTTGCAACCTAAAATAAAATTGGGAAGAATCTTGGAGAAATGAAGCATTGGCTCCTAATTGGGAGGACATAATTACACCTAGTTGAGACTCACAGTAACACGGCAAAAACCACATGACACCTCAGAAATGTGCTGAGTATGACTATCATCTAAAATCACTCAAACAAAGTAACTTCAAATTTCTGCCTTATTTCCCCCCCACTTGGATATTGGGAATGGATCCCTGGGACACACATATGTTAGACAATTATCTACTGCTCAAGCTATGTCCCCCTTCCATATGCATTTTCTTTTTAATTTTGATTTCTCCCGCTTTGAGCTAGTCCTGGGGCTTGAACTCAGAGCCTAGGTGCTATCCCTGAGCTTCTTTGCCTCAAGGCTAGTACTCTACAACTTGAGCCACAGTGCCACTTCTGGCCTTTTCTGAGAAGTTTATTGAAGAAAAGAGTCTTATGGATTTTCCTGTCCAGGCTGGCTTTGAACCACGATCCTCAGATGTGAGCCTCCTAAGAAGCTAGGATTATAGGCATGAGCCACCAGCGCCCGGCTATAATTTTCACTTTTTAACTTTTATTTTGGGTGGTATTAGGGTTTACTAGGCTAAGCACTCTATCACTTTGGCCACTCAATCAATTTTTGTGTTGGTTATTTTCAAGCTAGGCCCTTGCTTTTCATGCTCACACTGTCCTGAACTGGGTTCCGTACATTTCTTCCTGGGATGATAGACACATGCCATTGCACCCAAACACTGGTTCAGATGAAGCTTCAAAAACTTTGATGCAGAGGCTTGGCCTCCAACAGTAATCCCTGAGCTCTGCCTTCCAAGTAGTTACCGTGACAGGTCTGACTCTATTTTGCTTTTGAGACAGTCTCATTTTGCCTTACGTGACCTCCAACTGCCTTCTGAGTGCCTGGGATTACAGGCTGTGCCATCATTCCCAACTATTTAACTCCTTTAAGAAGGCATTTAGGCATAAGATTTTGTGGAAGGGCCTTTGAAAGGCCAAATACATTTTTGACAAATGAAATAAAATCTCTGATTTCATTTGATTGAATCTCACATTTACTTATTTTAAAACTAATGAATACCAAAATTCCTAAGAGGCAAAAGAAGAGTTGGTTTCTGTATAGAAATTTGAATCTAAGGGACAAGAATAGATCGAAGTTAAAAGACTATACAGTTTTAATCTCAACATTTTTCTTCATTTTTGACTATGTTAAAGAGAGCACCGAGAGATTATTAAACTAGTATCCAAATATCTTTTCCAAAAGGACTCCAACTGTGATTTACTGGAACAAGTGTCTCCCATTTTACATCTCACAGGTATAAAAGCTGACTGTTCTAAAGTTACCAACTTAGGGCTGGGAAGTTGGCTCAGTGGTAGAGCGTTAGCCTTGAGCTGAAGAGCTGAGGGACAGCGCTCAGAGTTCAGGCCCCATGACCGGACCCAAAAAAAAAAAAAAAAAAAAAAAAAAAAAATATATATATATATATATATATATATATATATATATATAAAGTTACCAACTTACTATGTGTTTGCCTGTAGGTCTGTACAACATTGAGCTAGCGCTGCTGTTTTATTTCAGAAGGAAAATGATAAAGTATGTAAAGGGTGAAAAATAGCTGCTCTCCTAAGCCATTTCTTTAGAGTGAGGATGAATTCTAAATTTATTAAGAAGTTTTATCCACTTCCTTCCTTTCCCCTTTTCCTTTTTTCTTGTCCTTCACAGGGACAGTATAAGGAAAAGCATGAAGGCACAAAATAGGAGCTTGAAATCAGCTACAGTAATTACTAATGCAATTGGGTCCTTTCTATGTGGCATTATAGAAACCTCCTGAGTACCAAAGTTTATGCTTTTACAAAAGACAACTCCTACATCACTACATGGCACAGCCACTGCTTCTTTACACCTTTCAGGAAACAATCCCTAGGTATTTTTCACAAACCCCACAGGGTTTTCTATATTGAAATAAAGCAATAGCAGTCAAGCCCAAAATTAACATTTGTGCAGATGAGCTGAACCAGTTTCAAATGACTGGTTTTCTGCTCCAAATGCTGGAGCAAAGAGTGTTATCACTTGGACACAGTCAATTTCACAGTGATGAACACATACATACAGGTGATCTGATGATGATCGAGGCACAAGCTGTGATTGGTAATTAAGTAAATGAAAGATAGAAGGTGTTCACAATCTATAGCTCATCATCTCTGCTCCTTATTCAGACATGGAGTTGAGCCACTTCCTATCTGTGCATTACACACACTTTCTATCTTTCTTAAGAGTTGCTCTGGTGCAGCATGATAAGGAAAACCAGATGGCTGGCTTGATAAAAGGTGTTCCAAGTAAGCTCTTAGTAAGCTTCTTACCACAGGGTATCTGCTGTCAGAAGACATTGGTCCTATAAGGACTACTACAGTTCAGTTTTCAAAATTCTGGGACTAATTTGATCATAGCCTTTTCTTCTTGTTACATTATAGGACAGAAATTTGGAGTAATCATTCAAAAGGTTTTCCCAGTAACAGGTGATATCATCCATTTGCAAGTGGTTCATGATAAACTGGCTTCCCCTAGAGAAAAGATTAACAAGAATATTTTAATCACAAAATTGAATAATAATAGCTTACATTTATTCACAGGGACGGATTGCAATGGTTTAACTCCTTCAAACAGCTAATTTCCAGTTTAACAAAACAAACACCAGGAAACGGAAAAGTGGTGTCAAGAAGGAGGGGAGATCAAGGGGAAGGGGAGGCAGACAAATGAAGAGATGAAGGATGTGGTGAATGCAGTAAAAATATTCAAGGTATATATGTGAAAATGTTAATTAAGGATATGGGTGGGGTTGGCGAGACAGAATAATGGAAGGAGTGACATTGATCAAAATGCAGTACTCGTAAATTAATATTTTGAATTGAAACTACGTTTTACAACTAATTAAAGATAATTTAAAAAATAATAAATAATTTTATTTTTAAAAATTAAAAGTAATTTTATACAGGCACTGGTGGCTCACACCTGTAATCCTAGCTACTCAGGAGGCTGAGATCTGAGGACTTCAGTTCAAAAACAGACTCAGCAGGAAAATCTATGAGGCACTTATCTTCAACTAATCACCAAAAAGCTGGAAATGGAGCTGTGATTCAAGTGGTAGAGCACTAGCCTTGAGCAGAAATGCTCATGGACAGCACCCAGGCCCTCAGTTCAAGCTCCAGGACTGGAAAAACAAATTTAAGTTTTCTTAAAAAATAGCCTACATTCTCAATGGCTATCTTGGGCCAAGCCCTATGCAGATTACATTATATCAGAAGTAACCCTATGGCCAATATATATATATTTATGTATACAGTAATAGAATTTAACATTTTCATGATTCTGAATTACTTTTGTATGATGAGGCTGAAGCATGAAAATCATCATAGTAATAATAGTTAGATAACTTCAGGAAAAACATGGGAATGCTAAAGTGAGGAAAGGGAAAATGAACAAAATTTACCTTTCAGCAATTTCCTGAGCAATATCATCATTTGCTTTCACAAACTGCAACAGCTCCCTAAAATGAAAAGAATCATGAGGCTCCAATATATACACTAAATTCATTAGTACTAAGTCAGACTGTAAATTGATCTCTAGCTAGGTCAATGTTGGATCATTTCTTTTTTATTTTTGTCAGCCATGGGGCTTGAACTCAGGGCTTGGGTGCCTATCCCTCAGCTCTTCAGCTCAAGGCGAGTGCTCTACCACTTGAGCCACAGTGCTACTTCCGGTTTTCTAGTGGTTTATTGGAGATAAGAGGACTTTCCTGTCCAGGCTGGCTTTGAACCATGATCCTCAGATCTCAGCTTCCTGAGTAACTAGGATTACAGGTGTGAGCCACCGGCGCCTGGCTTGGATCATTTCTTTAAAGCAAAGATACTAGGGTCCTTGCAAGAACAAAATAAGGGGAAAAAAATTCATATAAATTAAAACCAGCCTTATTATATATTTTGGATTTATTTTAGAAAAAAACAGATGCTCAATGATAGAGATCAGAAATCAAGAATACTATCTTCAAATTTTTATCCTAATTTCCCTAAGAGGGAACTAGGCTCACACTTTGGCCCTTTTCCTATCTCCTCCCATCATGAGAGACTGATAAAAGTTTCATTTGAGTCAGTGCTCATACCATAATATGAAATCTCATTGGCAATATTACAAGATCAAATGTCCCTATTTGAGGAATTAGAGCTTTCTCACTTCATCCTATCTGAATGTTACATTGGAGCTAGCATTAAAATACTTCTAGTAAAATCTCACTTACAGCCCACCTGGGTAATAATGCAACAGAACACAATATTTGCAAACCAAGTAAGAGGGATAAAGGTTTCACTGGAAAACGTCATTAAGGGTAGGTTAAAGGACTTCAGGGGCTGGACTTAGAGGCAGACTGCAGGGCCATTTGAGCTCTAAACGGGGGGGGGGTGGGGGGGGGGGGATAGCTGCTTACTGAACATTGGAGAGATCCGTTTTGACTGGGATATAGTGAACCCAGGGTTTCAGTTGTGGGTAGAAGAATTCTAGCCACTGGTCACCAACATGGAAAACAAGTGAACCACACAGGAAGAGGTGTTTGAACCGGAAACTTGCAGCTACACCCCGAAAATTAAACAGATACCTGGGGGGGGGAAGATGAAAATACATTTAATACTCTATGCTTGCAGCCACAAATATGTCCCTTTTTTTCCTTATTCCTTCCATCTTCTCTTCTAGAGCTGCAGGCTAGAGGCTGTTCTGAGAATGTCAGAGTGGGGGATAATTTCTTCAAACAGAGCTAGACTGAGTCAGAAGCTGGCTTCTGAGTGGAAAGAATGTAGGGCTCAGAAGGAAATGATAGCCTCTTGTAGCCTGAACATATTCAAGGAAATGCAGAAACAGTCAAAGACATACATCAAAAATAAAGAGTGAAAAAAAATTCACAAGTTAGGTTGATGAGTCTCAAAGTTTTGTTTTTCCTCCCATGTACCCCATCTAATCTCCCTGCATCTTGGACACCATCTCCTTCTCCAAGTCTAGGAAGAACAAAGAAGTGATGTCAGAACATCTTATTAAAATTTCTCCCCTGCCTTCAGAGCTATCTCAGAACATCTTTTCAAAATTTCTTTCTCTCTCTCACACACACTCACACACCTATCTCTATCATAGAGCTCTAACATACAGCTCCACTGTGTGATCAGCATTTTTATCTGTGAATCCCCCCACCTAGCCACCCCTCCCTGTAAGCCCAGATTTACCTGTTAAGCTGATTTCAAGACCTGGTATTTCATGATGTTTGTTTGTTTGGTAGTGCTAAGGATCATCATGTGCTAAGGCTTCATGCATGCTAAGCACATGCTCTATCACTGAGCTACATCCTTAGCCCCTCACTATAATATTAACTTCATAGTTAACTTCAACTACTGGGTGGGTAATTAATGGAAAGAAGTAAGCTCTCTGTAAACAATGACCATATTTCATTCTTCTCTATTGCACCCACAGAACTCAAGTCAGTGTACAGCAAACCTTAGTAAAAGGTAGCTAAAGAAATTAACACTAGATCTTAGATATGCTCACTACTCAAAGCAGAGCTATTTCAAAACAACATGGAGCCGGGCGCTGGTGGCTCACGCCTGTAATCCTAGCTACTCAGGAGGCTGAGATCTGAGGATCGCGGTTCAAAGCCAGCCCGGGCAGGAGAGACCGTGAGACTCCTATCTCCAATAAACCACCAGAAAACTGGAAGTGGCGCTGTAGCTTAAGTGGTAGAGCGCTCGCCTTGAGCTGAAGAGCTGAGGGACAGTGCCCAGGCCCAGAGTTCAAGCCCCACGACCGACAAAAAAAAAAAAAAACAACATGGAAACCATTACCCAGAAGACTTACTTGTATTTGCAATGATCCACAAGATGGACATCCTTAGCAGCTGGTTTTCCCAAAGTGTCCTTTAAGTAAAAAAGAAGGTATTGGCACTAGTGATAATGGGATTTATAAGGAACTAATGTCAGCAAGCATTATTAAACATTCCAACAACTTAACCTCATCTATACTTCATGATACACATGGAAGGAAGTATTATTATGTTCATACTGATGAGGAAAGCCAAGGTTTCCAGAAGCTGAGAGACTTATTCAGTCACATGACCCTAAGTAGAAGTGCTAAGGTTTTAACGCAGGTCTGTCTGATTTAGGAAATTTAAATTCACTGAAACCATGCTGCCCTCCTTTGAACTCAGAGATCATGGCTTGCAGCCCATTTCTGTAAATTATACATGCACATACCATAAACACTGGCAGGTGGGCCGAAGGATGTATGTAGCTCACATACAAGTTCTGGTGGGCATGAAAAGTACTTAAAAATAAACTACTCAAGCCGGTGCTTGAGCCGGTGGCTCACACCTGTAATCCTAGCTACTCAAGAGGCTGAGATTTGAGTTTCATGGTTTAAATCCAACCTGAAAGTCCCTGAGACTCTTATCTTCAATTCACTACCAAAAAAAAAACCAGAAGTGGGGGTGTGGCTGAAGTGGCAGAACACTAGCCTTGAGCAGAAAAAGTCAAACGAGCACAAGGCCCTGAGTTCAAGCCTCAATACTAGCAATAAATAAACAGGTGACAGGATACTTGCAAAAATCCAGATTTCCAATTTCTCTAAGGAGACCTGGTAAACCAGGCCTCTACACTAACTTGCAGTCATTGGCTGGAGCTCTTGGCAGTCTCTGGCTCAATCCTTCATTTACTTTCTGGTCCCTGGGCACTGGGTCTAGGACCCCCAAGTCCATTCTCCCTTGTTAGTGAGAAGGTAAACATGATGATGGAACTTAAGTCATATTTGCTTTTGCTGCCTTGGTACATAGTAGAGGTCAGTGACTTATGTGCAGAATGAATACCTTATTCCTGTTTTTATTATTTAACAAAGTTTCTTGAACTCATTTGTTCCTATTTGATTAAAACTATCAAACAATGCATACATCTCAGATATACTTAGTTTAGCCCCTGGAAGTTTTATTAATGCTTTTTCTCGTAATACCATCATATATTATATGGAAATTTCAGACAAGGAAATTTAGGGCTTTAAGTTCTTCAATTACGGCAAACAGTCATAGAGTTAAAAGGACCAACACAGACTGAAAACTAAAGGTTCCAACCTCTGGCTTCATTTCTTAGAATCATTTGCAAAGTCTTAAAAGAAATGAGGATTTCTGGAATCCATCTCCAGACACTCTGAATCAATGGATTCATTGTTAAATCTAATTATACTATACAGACAGAATTAAGAAACAATGGTTTAAACCAAGGGTTGGCAAACTGTAGCCCTTAACTCAATCCAGCCCACACTTTTTGTTGATGGTGGTGGTGGTGGTCATGGGGCTTGAACTCTGGGCTTGGATCCTGTCCCTGAGCTCTTCAGCCCAACACGAGCACTCTACCACTTGAGCGACAGCACCACTTCCGGTTTTCTGGTGGTTAATTGGAGATAATGGCCTCACAGACTTTTCTGCCAGGAATGCTTTGAACCGTGATCCTCAGATCTCAACCTCTTGAGTAGCTAGGATTACAAGCATGAGCCACCAGAGCCCAGTCCAGTAGAACCCATGGACTATTTCTACATTTTCAACTGATAAGAAAATAATTTTGTAATGTGAAAATTACATAACATTAAAATTTCAGTGCCCATACATTGAGTTATTATTAGAAAGCAGCCATGCTCATTTGTTGACCTACTGCCTGTGGCTGCTTTTCCTCAGCTACAACAAAGTTGAGTATGAGACCAAATAACTCTCAAAATACTTGCAATGGCATAAAAAATAATTGACTTCTGGCTTAAACCTTTGGAGTTGTAGCATATACCAGTCACATGACCAGAAAAGCAAGAAGACTTTGCAAAGGAGAACTGACATAAATGCTAATACAAGGAACTTTCTTAACATTCATCTCACCACTGAGAGGAAACCTAATCTTATCAGTTCTACCCAGGTAGAAATGCTCTTTGAATGAAAACAATCACTGTTGTGGTTCTATTCAGATGATTGCTGATTACTTTCATAGATTTCCAGGCCTGGTTTTTGGTGTATTCTGCATCAACAAGTTTTGGATTTTTCCGAGATAGAAGAATGAGAGGATCCCGTTCTGGACTTGTCCTATGAAAGAAGCACATGATGTAAACCTATATAGCCTACATCGTAATCATAATACTGTTTGCAGTCTCTGAAAGTTGAGCAGCAAGGGGAACCAGGTAATGTCTATCTACACACATGGATAGTTCATGGCTTTCTGTGGCTGGGAATGGGGATTCTCTGTACCATACCATCTAAGAGGTCCTGATTCTTCCCCTACTGTACTCTCCCAGGATAGGGAGTGTTTTACTCTCTCTCTTGTATCTAGTCTGTGAGGGCATGTGGTTCTGGTCATATAGCTATATCTCAGAAATGATTTCCTCTCCAGAAAGGTCCATGTACTCACTGATATGCACCACTTATCAAATAGTTTTATAAACCTTTGTGTGTATGTTATATAAAATCCAATACATGTAAATTAAAAATAATACAGGCTGGGCCTGATGGCTCTAGCTTGTACTCCTAGCCACTTGAGAAGAGGAAACTAGGAGAGTTTGTAGTCTGAAGACCAGCCCATGCAGAAAAATAGTTCTTGAGTCTCCATCTCAACCAATGGCTGGAAATAGTGGCATTAACCTGTCATCCCAGGTTAATGGGGGAAACATAATGGCTGGGCACAGTAGTGTGTGTTTATCATCCCAAGCCACACAGGGGAAAGCACAAATCGGAAGATTTTAGTCCATGCATAAAGGAGACCCTATCTGAAAAATAACAAACACAGCTGGGCACCAGTGGCTCATGCCTGTAATCCAAACTACTGAGGATCACAGCTCAAAGTCAGCCAGGGCAAGAAAGTTGAGTCTCTTATTTCCAGTTAACTACCAAAAAAGCCAGAAGTGGAGCTGCAGCTCAAGTGTTAAAGAGTGCTGGCGTTGAGCAAAAATGCTCAGGGATAGTGCCCAGGCCTTGCGTTCAAGCTCCAGGATGGCATACACACAAAACAAAACAAAACAAAAACACACAACAGAACTGGAGGTGTAGCTCAAGGAGCAGAGCATCAGCCATGAGTGAAAAAAAAAAAAAAGAGCGAAAGATGAGTCCTTAAGTTTGAGCTCTAGTGCCAGCACAAAGTAATAACACAAAAAGGACTAATGGAGTATCTTGAGTGGAAGAGTGCCTGCCTAGCAATAAGACCTTGAGCTCAAATGGTCGCAATAAACAAATAAATAATAACCCTCAAATGAAATAAAAGCCGAGCATGGTGACTCAGGCCTCTACTCCTAGCTACTTGGGAGGTTAAGGCAGGAAGGCCACAACTTTGAGGCCAGCCTGGGAAATACAGCAAGACCCTATCCCAAAAAAAACAATTAAATAAAAAAGAAGGAAAAAACTTCAAAGGGATCAGAGATATGGCTCAGTGGTAAAGTGCTCGCCTAGTATGTGCAAGGCTCTGGGTTCAGTCTCCAGCCCATCCAAATACAAACAAAAACATTCTAAAGAGCTCAAAAACCTGGAGACTACATGTAGGAAAAGTCCAAGTAGCAGTTTACTGTCCAAGCAAGGAGGGGAGCAAACAGTATGATGTGATAAATACCATCAAAACTACAAACCCCTGTCCCTTCATGGTCTTTTCCACTCATGCACACGACTGTGCATTTGTACCAGGTATTTCTCTTGGCTCTGAGAATATGGAGCTGAACAACACAGGCAGGTCATTCCACTTCATTGTCCATATATCTCTATTTCTACCAGCATCAGGGCTATTAAGCACAGCTTGGAAGTCACATGGTCTGATGGCAAAGGCAATTGGGATACCTGGTGACGATTCCTATTCTGCACTAACCAGCAGAAACATGACCATAAACATAGTTTATGGAGGATTTCTGGAATCCATCTCCAAAGAGATGGATTTTTGGTGGTTAGAGATAAGAATCTCATGGGACTTTCCTGCCCAGGCTAGCTCTGAACCTGGAACATGATGAAATCTTTGTTCTGTTGACATTATAGAGACATTCATTGTATCTATCTGCTCCCTGACTTAGATGAAGTGTACTTCTTTAACTTCCAGTTCAATTGAGTAATGGAGACAGGCATGGTAATGCTTGGCTGCAATCCCATCAGTCAGGAGGCTGAAGCAAGAAGATTTTAAGTTTGAGGCTAGCTTGGGCTCCACAGTAAGTTTTAAGATGGCCTGGACTACATAGCAAGACCATTTCTTGAAAGAACAAAATCAAGCCAGGAGCTGGTGGCTCACGCCTGTAATCTTAGCTACTCAGGAGGCTGAGATCTGAGGATCATGGTTCAAAGCCAACCTGGACAAGAAAGTCTGTGAGACTATTTTTTTTTCCATATATATTGTACTTTTTTTAATTGTGAAAATACCATACTGGGCTGGGACGGTGGCTCAGTGGTAGAGCATTTGCCTTGCATGCATAAGGCTCTGGGTTCGATTCCTCAGCACCACATAAGCAACAAGAAAAAAGCCAGAAGTGGCGCTGTGGCTCAAGTGGTAGAGTGCTAGCCTTGAGCTGAAGAGCTGAGGGACAGCGCCCAGGCCCAGAGTTCAGGCCCCACAACTGGACTCCCTCCCCCGCCAAAAAAAAGAAAATACGCTACAGAGGGATTACAATTACATGAGCAAGGTAATGAGTACATTCCTTATCAAGCATTGTTGCCGCCTCCTTTGTTTCCCCTTCCCATTCCTACCCATCTGCACCGCACCACCCCCCACCATGACTCTTATCTCCAATAAACCACCAGAAAACCGGAAGTGGAAGTGGTGCTATGGCTCAAGTGGTAGAGCCTTGAGCTGAAGAGCCCAGGGACAGTGCCCAGGCCCAGAGTTCAAGCCCCACAACTGACACACACACACAAAAAAAAAGAAGTCAGAAAAATAATCACCTTGATCCTCGGAAATATGCTGTAGAATTTTTCTTATTCCATGGCCACTGAGCCGCTGACCTAAGAAATGCAGACTCTGATTAGTTTCTATGATTTTTTTCTAAACATATAAGGTTGTATTTTAACCATATTTTATGAAATTAGCATACATTAATAGTACAAAAGGATCTCATTGTCATTAGTCTATAGATGCAGAATGAACTTTAACAAGTTCACCTACTCTATTATATTCCCCAACCCCCTTTACTCTCCCAATTTTTCAAACAGTATTTGGTGGGTTTCATTAAGTTAAAATCCTCACACATATGAACATGAGTGAAAAATTTGATATTTGGCTTTTTGGGCTTGGCTTATTTTGCTCAACATGATCTTCGGCTCCATCCATTTTGCTGTAAAAGGCATTTCACTCTTCTTTATAGCTGAATGATATTCTGCTGTGTATAAATACTACACTTTCTCCATTTGTCAGTTGTTGGGCAGCTGTGCGGTTAGAATAGGGTTGTGAATAAAGATGGGCATATAGCTATCCCAATTGTATACTAACTTACATTTCTTTGGATATATGTCCAAGAGTTGTAGAGCAGGATTAGATAGTAGTTCCATATATAATTTCTTGAAGAATCACCAAACTGGTTTACACAGTGATTGCATTAACTTGTATTCCTACTAACAGTGTATAAGAGTTTCTTTTTCCCCCATATTGTCACCAGCATTTGTTGTTGTTTTCTTGATCATTGCCATTTTGACTGGGGCGAGACTGCATTTCTTCTGTAACTAACTGTTGAAATTTTCTTCATATATCTCAGTCTGTTGGTATTTAGAAAACATACTGATTTTTGTATGTTAACTTTATATCTAGGAGGGTTTTTTTTGTATATAATCTTTATAGTTTTTTAAGTACATGATCACATCATCCTCAAATAGGGATAATTTATCCAACCTCTTCCTCCTCTACTTGAATCCTTGTTTTCTTACTCATGTCTTACTGCTCCTACCAGGAATTTTAATACATTGGCTAGAAGTAGGACAAGTAGACAATCTTCCTGACTTTAGAGAAAACCGTTTCAGTTTTCCCCCATTTAAGTATGATGTTGGCTAAAGTACTGTCATATACAGCATTTATTATGTTGTGAGCCATTGCTTCTATTACCTGTTTCTTCATAGCATTTATAAGAAAGAATGTTGAATTTTTTCACAAGCTTTTTCTGCATCTGTTGAGATGATTATGTTAATTTTGTCCTTTTTCTGTTTATGTGGTGTATTATGCTTATTGATCTGTATTATGCTGACCCATTCTTATATCCTTGGAATAAAAGTTACTGGAGCATAGTATATAATCTTTTTTAACATGTTAATAAGTTTAGTTTGTAGGGTTTTTTTCTTCTCTGTGTGACTGTCCTGGGGCTTGAACTCAAGGCCTGGATGCTGTCTCTGACCTTTAAAACCAAAGGCAAGCACTCTACCACTTGAGCCACATCTCCACTTCTGACAATTTTTGGTGGTTAATTACAGATAAGAGTCTCATGGGACTTTCCTGCCCAGTCCCAGCTAGCTCTGAACTGTGACCCTCAGCACTTAGCTTCCTGAGTAGCTAAGATTATTGGTTTAAGCCACCAGTACCCAGTAGTTTATAATTATTTTTATTATTTATGTTTACATTTATGTTCAAAGGAAGATGCTATAAATTTTTCTTTTTTTCTTGTGTCCTTACAGGGTTTTGGCTTCAGAGTAATAGATAGAATGAATCTGTAGCATTCTTTCTTTTTTTTTAATTTTTAATTTTTGGCAATGCTAGTAGGCAGGCATCTACCATTTGAGCTATGCACTCAGATCTTTGTACTTTTAGTAATTTTTCATATAAGGCCATGTATTTATGCTTGGACTGCCCTAGACTATCATCCTTGTATTTATGTTTATGATTACATATTTAGCAAGGATGATAGGTATATGTCACCAAACCCAGCTTTTATTATTTGAGGTGCAATTTTGTGAACTTTCTGCCTAAGCTGGCCTCAAACCTCCTCTGCCTCCCAAATCTAAAATTATAGGCATGAGCCATCACACTCAGCAGCACATTTCTCCTTTCTATTTTATGAGATACTTTGTTGGTTTTTTTTGGGTCCAGTCCTGGGGCCTGAATTCTGGGTCTGGGCGCTGTCCCTCAGCTCTTGGCTAGCGCTCTACCACTTGAGCCACAGCGCCACTTCTGGCTTTTTTCTTGTTGCTTATGTGGTGCTAGGGAATCAAACCCAGGGCCTCATGCATGCAAGGCAAGCGCTCTACCACTGAGCCACCTTCCCAGCCCCTTTATGGGATACTTTGATGAGCATTGATATTCTTAAAGAATTTCTGTATTTTACTTTTAACTTAAAAGTCAGGCATCTCAAAACACAATTGGTTATATTCTATTGCTTATTTCAAGAAAATCCACAAATAGTTAAAAAACAAATCTATATAAAGGACCTGCCTGGGACTAGGAAGATGGCTCAGTGGTAGAGTGCTTGCCTTGCATGCATGAGGCCCTGGGTTCAATTCCTCAGCACCACATAAACAGAAAAAGCCAGAACTAGTGCTGTGGCTCAAGTGGTAAAGCACTAGCCTTGAGCTGAAGAGCTCAGGAACAGTGCCCAGGCCCAGAGTTCAAGCCCCAGGACTGCAAAAAAAAATTTAAAAATAAAACAAATAAAGGACCTACCTTACCAGATCTTCTCTGAAGAGGTCCCACCGCCCAAGACCTGTAGGATATATTGGCCAAACAGCAGGTCCTCCTTCCCAAAATGTCCAAGCAGGATACATGATATCATGGTATTCGGATGTCTTTGACAGAAACAGAAGAGTAATTAAAAGTAAGTCTTAGAAGTTATAGAACCTCTCACTGGAAAAGTGAGAAGGAGTAAACAGCATTCATGACACAGGATTGGAGAAAGGCATAGCTATAATGTCAACTTGCTGACGATATTTTCTTTTCTTTTTTCCATTCTGGGGCTTGAATTCTGGGCCTGGAATCTGTCCCTGACCTTCTTTTGCTCAGGGCTAGTGTTCTACCCTACGAGCCACAGTGCTACTTCCGGCTTTTTCTGAGTAGTTTATTGGAGATAAGAGTCTTATGGACTTGGGCTGGGAAGGTGGCTCAGTGGTAGAGTGCTTGCCTTGCATGCATGAGGCCCTGGGTTCGATTCCTCAGCACCACATAAACAAAAAGCAAAAAAAAAAAAAGTCTTATGGACTTTTCTTCCCAGATTGGCTTGGAACTGTGATCCTCAGATCTCAGCTTCCTGAGTAGCTAGGATTACAGGCATGAACACTGACACCCAGCACTAAAGATATTTTCTCTAGCCTGCAAGGTCTATACTCCACACATTAAAAGACAGAAGTAGCTGGGTGCTGGTGACTCACGCCTGTAATCGTAGTTACTCAGGTGGCTGAGATCTGAGGATTGTGGTTCCAAGCCAGCAGGAGCAGGAAAGTCCCTGAGAGACTTATCTCCAATTAGCCACTCAAAAACCAGAAGTGGCGCTGTGGCTCCAGTGGTAGAACACTAGTCTTGAGTACAAAGAGGCTTGGGACAGTGCCCCAAGTTCAAGTACCACAACTGACAAAAAAAGTAAATAAATAAAAACATATAAAAAGCACAAGTGATTATAGGGTATAATTTCCAGAATTTAGAATCATATTAAAGGTTACTTCTCAGTTCCTTAGAATTCTGCTTTTCTAAAAGATATAGACTGTTATAGTTTTTTGGGGGGGAGGGAGGGTAGGGAGGTTGTTGTTTTTAGTTTAAGGAAATTATATACCCAATTCTGAATAATCCAAGATCTCTCCTGATTTTACCCTGGGAATTTACCTTACCATAACAATTCTTAGTTTCTACTACTGAGTCTTTTGAGAGTAAGACCCAGGAAATACTGTGCAGTGATTGAGAGATGGATCACAAGGGTCTAAATGTTGACTATACTTCTCTACATCTCTACTTGAGGTCATGAATCTTTCTAGGCCTCCATTTCCTTACCATATAATGAGGAAAATAGTACCAATAATTCCACCTAAATGCTTATTGCAAATACAAAATATCTTGACAAACACAAATTTTAGGACAGTGTCTAGTACATAGCTAGTACTCAGAAACACGGTTAAGTAACACACCTAACTGTGGCACAGCTGAGCTCATTATTTAGAGTCAGAAGCACCATGGGCAGAAATGGGAAAGAATATCACACATCTTTTTTTTTTTTTTTTGGGGGGGGGGGGGAGGGGTCCGGTCATGGAGCCTGAACTCTGGGCGCTGTCCCTCAGCTCTTCAGCTCAAGGCTAGCATTTTACCACTCGAGCCACAGCGCCACTTCCAGCTTTTTTCTTTTTGCTTATGTGGTGCTAAGGAATCAAACCCAGGGCCTCATGCATGCAAGGCAAGCGCTCTACCACTGAGCCACCTTCCCAGCCCACATACATCTTTTTTTGTTTTGTTTTGTACCAGGACTAGGGCTTGAACTCAGGGCCAGGGTGCTGTCCTTTAACTTTTTTTGCTCAAAGCTAGCACTCTACCACTTGAGTCATAGTTCCACTTCTGAGTTTTTTGTAATTGGAGATAAGAGTCTCACAGACTTTCCTGCCAAGACTTTTAACCACAATCCTCAGATCTCAGTCTACTGAGTAGGTAGGATTACAGGCTTATCGGCACTTGGCTCCCATCTTTTGAAGAAAGTAATACCACCTCTTCCTCTTTCATGGTTATTTCTGTTAATATTTGACTACTGATAAACCTCTAATTACTGTTGTTTCACAAGGATTACATGCCCATATGCTGTTTGCCTTTTCTTAAATATTTTAAAAATATGTAACTTATCGAGAACCTCAAATATACATCTGTTCAATAGAGGGAAGGTACGAAATTAACCATAAAGTTGTCAGACTAAACCCTCCTATGGGAAGTGATATTAAAAAAAAACAACATAGGAGGGGAGAGAGGACAAAAGGACAGTTAGTAAACTGACAGTCAGATTTTATTATCCACAGAAACAACAGATAATAATAGACACAAAGTCCTTACTGACTTACATGGGAGCCTCTATCTGTTCTTCTGGGGGAGTTTCACCACAAACAATGGGACCAAGCACTTTTGTGAAATGAGGTTAAACCATGGGCAATACAACACAAATGTGGCCTCAGCCCACTGGCAACACAGGAAAAAACAAATCTAGAGAGAAAGTAAACTGTGATAAAGAAAATGTGGGAGTAAGAGGTCCCTCTGCTTTGGAAGAACCAAAGGCTAGGGTTTTCCAAAATCCATCTAGCCTTCCCATCCCCCAACTCCAAATGCTTTCATACCAGCCAATATACCACTTGCATGAAGCTAACCTGACTGTGAGGATAAGCACAAGTTATTCATGATTCCTAGTTCTCCAAGACACACTTGTATCTCCACAAACCAAAGATCCTGCCATCATATGCCCTTATCTCCACAATGGATATAAACCATCTGGAGCTACCTGGAGCTTTGAGGTTCAGTTTTAGATATGCTGGGCCCCTGGGCTACAGAAAGATAGAGCAGATGCTATTCAACATTATGGTTGATATACGTTTGTAGGAAGGCAAGGATTTTTGGAATTTTTTTTTTCCATTGTGGGGAGGTATTTGATTTTTATTGAGACAGTGACTTGATACATAGCAGACTGGCCTTGAACTTGTGATCTTCTGCCTCAGCTTCCCAGTGCTGGGACTACAGGCATATAGCACCATGCCTACCTGTAACCATTTTTTATTTTATTTCCTAACTCCAAGCCTATAAGCTTTTTTGTTGTTTTGTTGTTGCTGTTTTAACTGTATTTTTTTTTGTCTTTTCTTTTTTGGTACTGGGGATTGAACCCAGGACATTGCACTTGGTAGGCAAGCACTTTGCCACTGAGCTACATCCCAGTCCCTTTTTTGAACTCCTCTCCCCATGCTCTGTAGGATCTTTAAACATTTTGTAGGGTCCTCAGGCATCTCTCTCCCTAGCTTCTACTGCTAGCCATAAACACTTAAGTATTAAGTCTTACATTACTTGAGGTCCTTAGCTCTACCTCCTCAGACTCACTTCTCAACTACTGTGAGTAAAAGAGGATATCCCTCTTTACTGGACATTATGCCTCATCGTCACTACTCCCCATCAGATTCTGACATAGGACAGCAACCTCTTGTTCATATCCTCAGGACCACCCTCCACCTCCCAGGTGGCTTCTCTTGCACTCACCTTACTGAAAGAGAAGACTGGGATGGTAGGCTCCATCCACTTAGGAACCTGAGGATAATCTCGTACATTGATCACCATCTCCATGTCAGGGAGGCGCCCAATGACTTCCAAAATAAAGTGCTCAACCCCGCTACACCTAGAAACCAGAAAAAAACAAGTCACCAGAGCATATCTGGTGACTAGGACAAAGAAGGGTCTTCTCAATCAAAGAAGTCAGGAAGGACAATACTCAGATTATCAGCAACAATCTCTTGAGAGCATTCTTCTTTGTTCTTGGTGGCTCTGGTGTTTAAACTCAGGGCCTGGAGCTTGCTAGGTAGGCATCCTACTACTAGGTCTTCTTGCCTTATTTTTCAGAAGGGGTCTAGTGTTTCTTGCCTAGGCTAGTCTCAGACCAATATCCTCCTATCTATGACCTCCTGCATAGCTGGGATTACAGGGATACATGATCATGCGCAGCTTATTGAGATGGGATCTTGCTAACTTTTGCCCAGGATGGCCTCAGTGATTCTCCTAACTTCTGTCTCCACTGTAGCATGAGCTATAGTGCCTAACCAAAGGCATCCTTCTAAGGACTATTTCACTTTTCTATACTGTGGAAGTTAATCACTTCTAAGCCTTCTAATTATGAACAAGTGTGTTACTGTGCAATTTATCATTCCTTACTAAGCTGTTCCAGCTTATAACACTTAATGGATCGTTCCAAACAAATCATTGTAAGTTTCAGAGGAATACTACTGCTAACACTACCCTTTCTCCTTTATTCATTCCCTTTTTTCACTACCCCTTCCCCTTCTCCTTTATTCTTTGCCAGTCTTAGGGCTTGAACTCAAGGCTTAGGTGCTATTCTTGAGCTTATTTTTTTCAAAACTAGGGTTCTACTTGACCCACAGTTTTTTGTTGTTGTTTTTTACTTTTGGGGGGTGGGGGTCTGGTTGTGGGGCCTGAACTCTGGGCCTGGGCACTGTCCCTCAGCTCTTCAGCTCAAAGCTAGCGCTCTATCACTTGAGCCACAGCACCACTTCCAGGTTTTTTTCTTTTTGCTTATGTGGTGCTGAGGAATCAAACCCAGGGCCTCAGGCATGCAAGGCAAGCACTCTACCACTGAGCCACCTTCCCAGCCCCTTGACCACAGTTTTACTTTCAGCTTTTTTGTGGTTAATTGGAGACAAGAGTCTCACAGTCTCTGAGTTTCACAAAGCCTGAGCTGTCTTTGAACCTTGATCTTCAGATCTCAGCCTGCTGAATAACTAGGATTATAGGTATTTCCAGCACCTGGAAACCCAAGGTTTTCTTTACTGCTCTGATAAGGAACAATTTAATTACATGGAAATATACAAATTCTCACAGGGCTGGGTGCTGGTGGCTCACGCCTGTAATACTAGCTACTCAGGAGGCTGAGATCTGAAGATCACAGTTCAAAGCCAGCCTGGGGAGGAAAAACCTGAGACTCTTATCTCCAATAAACCATCAGAAAACCAGAAGTGGCACTATGGTTTAAGTACACTAGCCTTGAGCTGAAGAGCTGAGGGACAGTACCCAGGCCCAGAGTCAAGCCCCACAATCAACAACAACAACAAAAAATTCTGATAGGAACTAAAAGAATTTCTAATTGTGGTCCATGGGCTTTGTTTCCCACAAAGACACTATAGTTAGGGTCCAGAATATCTCCAAAGGCCCATGGGTTTGGTCTGGCCCTCAGCTGGGCACTATTAGGAGTGGTTAAAAGAAAACTGTAAGAGAAGGAGCAAAGTTGGATGTTTTAGATTACTGAAAGTTTGCCCTTTAGGGATATTGTGGGCCACTGGTGTGCTGTCTGCTTCCCTACTACAATGTGGTGAGAAACTTGCTCTACTATATACCCCTGCTATGATGTGCTACCTTTCCACAAACTCAAAGGCAATAACTGAGGACTGTAAGCTTTGAAACAATGAACCAGAATAAACCTCCTGATCATGGAGCATCATTCTTTGCCTAGACTCACTGGGAATCCTCAGAGGATTTCACAAAAGCAAAAAGAAGCTGTAATGACAGCTTAGCTGGTTTCTATCTGGCAGCACAGAAATGACCAATTTAAAAATTATTTTAATTTTCACAATTAAAAAAATATTAAAAAGAGCTCAATACCATAAAGGAATTAAAGACATTAAAAAACATTAAGGAGGGCTGGGAAGGTAGCTCAGTGGTAGAGTGCATGCCTTGCAAGCATGAGGCCCTAGGTTCCATTCCTCAGCACCACATAAACAGAAAAAGCCGGAAGTGGCGCTGTGGCTCCAGTGGTAGAGCGCTAGCCTTGAGCTGAAGAGCTGAGGGACAGCGCCCAGGCCCAGAGTTCAGGCGCCATGACCAGCAAAAAAATAAAAAAAAAACATTAAGGAAAGCATGAATCTGATACATGTCAGAAAGTGGTAGTATCAGAGTTAGACAAAGCACCAAGCTCATGTAATGAATGATGAATATTAATTAGGCATTTGTAAGCATTTCTTCCTCTTCACAAGAGCTGTGAACAAGGAGAAATAGGCTGTGTATAGTCTTAGCATTTTTATTCAAATGTATTTGAAGAAAGAAGGAGTAAGACAAATAAAGCATTTATGTTGGTTTTGACTTAAAGGATGAAAAAGAAAAAAAAAAAGGTATTTAACTATTTCCCCATGCTCTATCCCACACAACAAACATGTGATGCTGAGCATATGGCATTTCTTTTGAATATGATGAATAGTATAGCTTATTGAATAATTAAATAAAAATTGAAAGTTTACAGGAAAAATATAGTACTGGTATATGGTTTGGGAACTCTCTTGGCCAGGTTTACAAACTCAGATTTATGGGATAGGTAATGAGGAAGTGGGTAACAAAAGCCTGTGCCTTGGCCTGTGAATTCACTGTGCGCCTTGCTAATGAGCACAAGGACCACCTTAGCTCTAAAAGGGGAGAAATAGGTATTTTAGGACAATGCTCAAGGTCACTTCTCTAGGTATTGGTGGATTTATCTAAAAGTGTATAATTTTAAAGAAAAACTGAAATGCATTAAATATAAAAAATTATTTTATATAAAAGGAGATAACTAAAAATAAAAAAAAAAATCAATGAGATGGGCATCAGTGATGCATGTCTGTAATACTATCTACTCAGGAGGTTGAAATCTGAGGATCACCATTCATTCTTTTTTTTTTTTTCTGAGGTCCAGTCGTGGGGCCTGAACTCTGGGCCTGGGCGCTGTCCCTCAGCTCTTCAACTCAAGGCTAGCACTCTACCACTTGAGCCACAGCACCACTTCCGGCTTTTTTCTTTTTGCTTATGTGGTGCTGAGGAATCGAACCCAGGGCCTTAGGCATGCAAGGCAATTGCTCTACCACTGAGCCACCTTCCCAGCCCTGAGGATCACCATTCAAAGCCAGCCTGGGCAGGAAAGTCTGTGAGACTCATCTCCAATTAGCCACCAGAAAACTGGAAATGGTGCTGTGGCTCAAGTGGTAAAGCACTTGCCTTGAGCTGAAGAGCTCAGGGACAGTGCCCAGCCCCAGAGTTCAAGCCCCACGACAAAAAAAAAAAAAAAAAAAGATCAATGATTGATAAACATGTGGAAAGATGTTGAAAGGTATTTACATAGCCCTGGTGAGGGAGGGTATGACTTTTATTCCAAGCATATAATACTAATAGCAGAAGTGTAAATAGGCACAACTTCTTTGGAGGACAATTGGCTATATTTATCAAGTTTTAGTGGTGGTGGTGATGGTGGTAATAGTGGTACAGTTTTAAACTTAGCGCCTTACACTTGCTAGACAGGCACTATATCACTGTAGCTATGACCTCAGCCTTGTAACCCAGATATAGTCCACATGCCTGTAATTCCAGCATTTGGGGGATGAAAGGAGGACAGCTGAGTTCCAGGCCAGCCCAGGCCACACAGTAGGACTCTGCCTTAAAAATAATTATATATATATATATATATATATATATATGAATATATTATGCATTAAACATTAACTTAGCTATGGCACTTTAAGGAATTTAGTCATATATCCTACATATATTTTTATATGAATGTTCAAGGTACATGCAGAAGAATGTTGACTACAGTGCTGTTTGCATTAGCCACATTAGGGGTATGGTGAGGAATAATGTGAATGTTCATTGATGGATTGTATAGTCTTGGAAGTGCTCCATTGACATGCTTTCTCTGAACCTGGTCCATAACACTCATTAAGTATCTATGCATCTCTTCCTCCTCCTTCATCCCAGCTCAACCCGCTAAGGATCAGTAACCCGTGTCCTGCATTCCTAGAGCCAGGGAAAGAAGAGGACAGTAGAGCCATAGCCATTACAACCAGTGCCATATCCTAGCCTCATAAAGTTAGAGGGGACAGGCTTTAACAAAGAGCTGGCAAAAAAAAAAAAAAGAGTTCCTGGCAAGGAAAGGAGTTCACAGTACTTTGTAGTCCCCCTGGAATGTGAGAAGGGACTCCCTAGACAGTCCACTGTACTGGCTTAATATGGAGTAAGCTTGTATGTGATAAGGTGAGGAGAGATGTGTACCTCTACCTCTTAACTCTTACCTTGAGGGGAACATGCAGTCATTCTCTCGGTATAATCTGTTCTTAATTATCTGATAGTGGGTTCCTAGTTTCCTTCTGATCACCTCTGCCATCATCTTCCTGGAGATACCTCCCCGGAAAGGAGTCAGATCTTCTTCTATGACACTGGGAAGAAATGGGAATTGTAAATGAAAACAAGCCAAGGGAATGAGGCCAATTCCTTCTATTTCCTAAGTATACTTCTGTTTGATACTAGAGAACACGTAATCCAAGCGCAAAGGCAGAAGGCAGGAATGAGCAACACTTCCTCCAGAAGCACCACAGGTAATGAAAAAACATCAAACACAACAAAGCCACAAAAAGTAAGATCAAGTCAATGTCTCTCTTTCTTTCTTCCTTCCATCAGGAATGCCCCTTCCTTAGTGATCCATATTCCTCTTTCCTACTCATGCCATATCCATGCCCACCCAGCCACTTCAGACCTGCCACCGCCTCTTTTTCTGGATCCTACAGAAGGTAGGTTCATATCGCAGTCCAACACTGTCTGTTCCCCTACACATGCTCAAAAACCTTGACTGAAATACCAGAAATAAAACTAGTTTGGGCTGGATGCGTGTGGCTACTCAAGGAGGCTAACAAAAGAGGATCATTGTTCCTGGCCCGTTCAGAAAGAAAAACTCTTGCTACACTCGCTCTCTAAAAACACAAGGTTGGAGGTGTCTCAATAGTAGAGGGCCAGCCTAGCAAGCATGAGACCCAGAGTTCAAACCCTAGCACTACAAAAAAATAAAAAATAAAACTCATTAAGTTTTCAGTAAATACCATTAGCCTTCACTAGATTTTTGAGAGATCAGAATAACAGGACAGATGAGGAACCTGGAGTCCCAGAGAACTGAAGTGGCTTGCCACTAGGTAATTAGGATATGCAAGTCTGCTTTTAGCATATTTACTTTTTACAATACATACCAAGTCCTAACTCCAATTTGCATACTTTTAAAGACAACCAACAGGAAGTGAATACTGACAAATACACTCACTCCCTCAACAATACTTACTGAGTGCATTAACTTAGTCCCAGCACCAAGGATACAACTGAACAAAACAGGCTGGGAACGTGGATTCGTGGTAGAGTTGCTTGCCTACCATGCATGAAGCCCTGGGTTCGATTCCTCAATACCACATACACAGAAAAAAAGCTGGAAGTGGAGCTGTGGCTCAAGTGGTAGAGTGCTAGCCTTAAGCAAAAGAAGCTCAGGGGACAGAGCCTAGGCCCTGAGTTCAAGCCCCAGGACTGGCAAAAAAAAAAAAAAACTGAACAAAACATAGACCCAGACTATACGCCACTTTCAGTCCAGGGGAAAAACAGTCCAACGCATGCGATACATCCCCTTGGGAAGCAGAGGTGATGTGGAGACCAGTGGGCCTTTCCTATCCCTGGGCATTTCCACTCCTTAGAACAAGAGGACACTTCAGGCAGCCTTTCTGCTCGCCACACGTTGCAGATTCTCTGACCACCACTACCAAGCTCTTGGGAACATGCCTGTGATAAGAACTCACCCATGATAGCAGCTGCAATTCTGACTTGAACACGGTTCATAATTCTCCAAAGACCTGTTGATTTGGTCAATAAATACTTTCCATCTTGAGCCTTCAAAAAGGGAAGTAAAGGAGAGTTAACAGAATACCTCCCCCTGGCAGTCTTATTTGCAAGCATCAGGCAGAACAAGAAAAACCAAAAATCTCCCCTGAATTCCCCTTTCCCGCCGCACCGGGGGAAGCGAAATGCCAAGAAGGATTTCTTTCTGTCACCTGACAGGCGTCTGACCGTTGACCTGGCCCATCACAGGTGTCCAAAGCGTTGGCCAATTCACAAGCTTAAGACTCCCAAGGGCTACAGACACATTTTGGGGTACAGAGTCACTTACAGATTCTCCCCCTTCTCATCGAAATAGAACCCCATAAGGAGAATCCATTCAAAGAACACCGGGCTCGGGGTACCCCCCTCTCGAGGGTGGGTGACCGGGGCTTCCTCCGCCCTCCTAAGCCCATCCTTCTCCAGGGTCCCGGGCATAAGCGGAGACACAGACAGCCGGGCTCTCCGGCCCACACGCGCCTCCGCATCCTCCCCGGCGTCCGGGGGACCCGGCGGGGCCACACCGCGAGCCGCAGCGGCGGGCTTCGGCCTGGGCCCCTGAGCCCGGAGCCCACCTGACTCCTGATGGCGGCCCTGAACCGCGGGCAGGAGTAGCAAAAGCAGCAGCAGCAAGCGCCGAACGGCGAAGCTCGCCCGCCGCTCCATCGCCCGCAGACCCGTTGCGGATTCCCCGCCGCGGCGCCGGCGGAAGCGCTGCCCTGCACAAAGATGAAGGCGGGCTGCCCGGCTCAAAGATGGCCGCCGTGGCCCGGCCCGGCCCGCCCCCTCCACCCCCCCCCCCTTCCCCGGCCCTGCTCTGTGCTTCCCAGCTGGCAGAGAAAACCCACTTGATAATGCATCCTTCTGAGATACATTGGGAACATCTTATTCTCAGCAAACAGGAAATTAAAGGTCAGAGAGGACACGTTTTCTTGCCTGTAGCTTCTCATGGTCATAACCAAAGGCTATAGGTCTTTCTATAGCAAACTGCTTATTGAATAGTATACAATTCTATAGTAACAGCAACTTAAGACACATTTACTGAAAAGGACTGCGTCGTTACTTGGGCCCACAAATTAAGTAAAAGAAGACCTTGGCATCCTTGCCTCCATGGTCTTTGTGGTCATTGCTCTAGGCCATCCATCGTCAATGTGGTCTTTGCTCTAGGCCATTCCCTTTGCAGTTACTTTACAATCACCTTCAGCTCAAGGAAGGATGAACACAATATCTTTATAAGGGACAAAAACTGTCCCTAAGGACTATAAGAGCTTCATACGTACACCCTTCCTCCTCCCCCAGACAACAAGGACAAATTGTACAGAAAATTCTGTACGTTCTTCTGCTGTTCTTGAGGTGGGCAGAGTCTATTGGTTTTACAGCAGAGACAGCTAAAGTTGCAACCCAGGATCAGGCAATGTCTGCTACTGCTGCAGCTTCACTGTCACTGCAGCTGCGTTAGCTTTCTTGGGTTCTGTTCTCACAATTTATGAATGAAATCCAGGACACGGGAGGGTGAATGTGGAGAACTCTTATTTACCTAAGTATCTGGGTCAAAGTCTCTGTTTCTCTTTCGGTAGGATTTCTCAATCTATTGTGATGTCTGACTAGAGACAAGTCTCTCGGGCTTTTAAGTTCTCTGAGCTGTGCGCTGATTGGTTGCCCCTATGCAAATGAAGTGTGGAACAACCAATCCATCAGCGAAGTCCTGCTGAGTCACTGTGGATCATTCTGTAATTACATTCTCAATTTAGGTCTGTCTCCTGCATCCCTACCAAGTAAGATTTAGAGAAACTAGGAAGGATGGAGACAGGACATTCTATTCTCTACAGCTGAGTTGTTTTTTTTTTTTTTTAATTTCTTGTTATTCTAAAGGTGATGTACAGAGGGGTTACCATTATATAAGTCAGGTAAAGAGTACATTTCCTTTTGGACAATATCACCCCTTTCCTTGCTCTCTCCCAGTTTTTCCCTCCTGTCCCTACCTATAAGTTGTTCATTTTCAATATAGTGTTTATGCTGCATTGGTTTCTCCTTTGTCCCTCCATTTTTGTGCCTCTCCATACACTCCTAAAGACATATAAATGAACAAACAAGACAAAAAGAAACGAATACAAGAACAGCAACAAAGGGGGAAAAAACCTCTTTTTTCCATTTCCTGGAGTTCATTTCAATAAATATAATTTTGTAACATCAGATGCACATAGGCATTGTGCCTTTGTGTTCCTCTCCTAAGGGTATCTTCTTTTGGTCACAATATGTGAATGTCTTCATTCCTGTCTAATTTATCACGTTCCCATGTATTTTAGATCTATTTTCTGCATATGAAAGAAAACATGCACCATTTGACTCTCTGAGCTTGGCTTACTTCACTTAACAGAATTTGTTCTAAGTCCATCCATTTACCTGCAAATAATATAATTTTACTCTAATGGCTGTGTAAGATTGCATTGTACATAGGTACCACATTTTTGGGGATCTACTCATCTATTATAGGGCATCTTGGCTATTTCTCCAACTTGGCTATTATGAACAGTAAAGCAATGAACATGAATGTGCAAGTGTCTTTATGGCATCCTGGCTTGTGATGTTCTGGGTAAATGCCCAGGAGTGGTGTGGCTGAGTCATAGTTAAAATCTATGTTTTTTTGAGGTACCTCAACTGCTGTCCAGAGTGGTTGTACTAGTTTACATTCCCATTAACAGTACAGTAGGGCTCCTTTTTCCTCATACTCCCACCAATATTTATTGTTGGCCAATCTATACAGTGTTGGCCAATCTAACTGGGAAGAAATCAAACTTCAGAGTAGTTTTGAGGTGCATTTACTTTCTGGCCAGGGATGATGAGCATCATTTCTTTGCCATTCTTACTTCTTCTCCTGAGAAATTTCTCCTAAGCTCCTTTGCCAATTTAGTGATTGGTTTGTTGGGTTTGGGAGGGGTTAATTTCTTGAATTCCTTATATATTTTGGATATTAGGCATTTCAGATGAATGTGTTTTTTTTAAAAAACAATCTTGCATTACCCAGTTATCCAATCTTGCATCATTAGCTTGCCAACCTGCAACACATTCCAGTGCAAGTTGTTCTCCAGCTAAGGAAACTACCAAACTTTTTAACCTCTTAACTAAATCTACCTTTTCATAACCTGAATGATGAGGCTACACTCTGGAACTGGAGTAATCATTTCATGGGCACCAGATTGCTTCCCTCAAATGAAAACAGTGACAGCTTCATTTTGATTTCTGATGCCTAGGACAAGTGATGTCATTCTGGTTTTGGTTTGGTTTGCTGTAGTTTACTCCAGGAACTCAACTCCAAACAGAACATATTTAACAGCACTCATTTTATTTTCATGCACAAATCATCACATTTCTGTTACAAAAGTTCCTGTGCCATACTATTTGCAATTCTTTGTAGTCTAATGGTTTCTATATTCACATGCACAGAGATTCTGAAATCAGATTTTTAAATGTCAGGCTCAAACTCCTGGGACTCCATATATCAGGTCACTTTCACCTGCATGGCAAATAGAGACATGGTTAAGGGCAGAGAAAGGAAGACACAAAGGATACATAATTATTAAACAGTCTCAGTCACATATGTTCTGGTGATGAGAGACAAAGGCACACAATCTGGTAGCTCATTGTCTCAAAAATGGTTATGTAGGGCCTAGTTGATCATTTCCTCAGTTCTAATTCTTCCAGAGCCCCAGAGAAATTGTTGCTGTCATTACTAGAGGGATTTCTAACTATACTTAACCTACTGCTAAACATTTCTTTCTTTTCTTTTTTCTCTTTTTTGTTTATATCCAGGCATGAAGTCAGAGTTCCTGCTGATTATGCTTTCTTGCTCAATGCTGGCACTCTATCCAGCCACAAGACTGGCACTTTGCTGTATAATTGCAGATAGCTTTCCTAGGACTTTTCTGCCTGGGTTGGCTTCAAATTGCAGACCTCCTTATTTTAGCCTCCTGAGTAGCCAGGAATACAGGCATGAGCCACCAGTGTCCAGAAACACTATTCTATTCTTTTTCAGCTTCCACATGCATAAAAACATAATATTAAGAAATAATTTAAAGCTGGGCACCAGTGGCTCACAACTGTAATCCTAGCTACTCAGGCGGCTGAGATCTGAGGATCAAGGTTCAAAGCCAACCTGGGCAGGAAAAGTCCGTAAGAAAACCAGAAGTGGCACTGTGGCTCAAGTGGTAGAGCACTCACCTTAAGCTGAAAAGCTGAGGGACAGCGCCCAGGCCCAGAGTTCAAGTCCCATAACCAACAAAAAGAAAAAAGAAAAGAAAACGAAATAATTTTACAATGCTGGGCTCTGTTGGCTCATGTCTGTAATCCTAGCTATTCAAGAGGATAAGGCCTGAGTGTTGCAGTTCAAAGCCAGCCTGGGCAGGAAAGTCTGTGATTCTTTTATCTCCAATTAGTCATCAGAAAACTGGAAGTTACACTGTGGCTCAAAGTGGTAGAGTGCTATCCTTGAGCAGAAGAGCTCAAGGACAGCACCCAGGCCCCATATTCAAGACCCATGATCAACATACACAAAATAATAATATTAACAATAATAATTTTACAAACTACACCCACAGAAAAGTGCTCAATGGATTTAAAACTAGCTTTAAAAGAAAATGAAGTTAGGTTAGTAAGCTTTTCTTGTGAAAAAAATTTTCTTGGGATTGGTGATACAATGCTTTTATTAAAAAACAACATTGATAATTTTTTTGTGTATGTGCTTGTACTGGAACTTGAAATCAGGGTCTTATGTTTGCTAGGCTAAAGATACTACAGCCTGACTTTGTACTGTTACTTTGGAGATAGAGTTTCACATACTTTTCTGCCTGGACTAGCCTCAAACCATGATCCTCCAAAACTCAGCCTCCTGAGTAATTAGGATTACTGGTACCAGCTACAACAGAGTTTTTAATGCAGAAGGTCAGGAAGTAATTAACAGAACAAATACAAAAAATAAACCTCCAGAGCTGGGCATAGTTGTACACGTGTAATCCCAACACTTGGGAGGCTGATACAGGAGGATCAGATTTCAGACAGCTTGAGCTATATAGCAAGCAAGACCCAATCTTAAAAAATAAAAAAAAAAATTAAATAAATCAGAAAATGTACAAGTAGTGCTGGTGGCTCACATTGATAATCCAAAGTCAGCCCAGGCAAAGTTCATGAGACTCTTATCTTAAATAATCTAGCAAAAAGCTGAAAGTGGAGGTGTGGCTCAAGTGGTAGAGCACTAGACTTGAGTGAAAAAAATCAAGCAAGAATAAGAGACTGTGAGTTCAAGGCCCAGTAGAGGCATGCGCACACACACACACACACACACACACACACACACACGAAAGAAATATATAAAATCCATTATGCCAAGAAATGAATACAATAAGCATATGTAATAATCTATGTTGAATTTTACATATTTATGAATGAAAGCTTTATGGTACATTAATACCAGAGACTATTACTGACTATAATTGTTTTCATTTCAGCCATTCTATTACTAGAATTTGAGGTTTCTACCACTCAAAACCAAAATACAGAAGATGGCATGAGTATGCAAGGCTGGCCCTGAAAACAACAACAACAACAACAACATGGAGACTTCTCTTCCAATCTGTGAACGCTTATGGAATGGGAAGGTTTTTATGACAGGCAAGGCACAACAGTGTGACAACTGGCAGGGAAGTCCCAGGGTGGGTG